AGATTCTGAGAGAACAACGCAAACTTGACCCGAGATATTTGAGCAAATTGTGCCTCCTTCAAACGCAATTGCTATAAATACTCTCTCAGAGGAATTGTTTGGATGCAAAATGGCTGACAGCCATCTGATTGATTCTTATTTCCAAACATGTCACACAACAGAAATAAACTGGGACCTGCCAACCACATCAATTTTAGCAGCTGAGGATGTGAATAACGAATCAGACTACCAGCGGGAACAGCATTCTACAAACGTTCTGAACACGTATACATTCACAGACGCACAGGGTGAAGTTGATATTTCACGCTCCTACGCACTACATAGCGGACACATTGGCAAGCTTGCACTTCTTCTGGACAAGAGGGAAAAACTAAATTCCTTTCTTTGAAATTGCCAAGCAAGGAACACAATAGTTGATATTTTTTCATCTGGTGGGTAATGATTATGACAACAGAAATGTGTGTATGATTTTTTAAAGGTTGTGAATTTCGACGATTTGCAGGTCAGTTTCTAAACTGTTGGCTCACAAGCTGTGAGATTATCGCAATATTATTACTCAGCTGTCCCACATTATGCACCGCTACTGAGATTGTCAATGACGGCGGCCTTGATAGTACGTTCGTGACAAACAACTTCGCCGGTGTTTTGCAATTAAAGTCAGAGTGAATTACGCGCAGATTGCCGTTTCTGAAAACCTAACTGTGTGAAGCGGGGTTTTCTGCACTGTCAGCATCCGAAACAAAGCAAACAAATTAACTGGACCTAGGCAGCACACATCAAGCCTCATTGTCTCCTAATTTCCCCAGATGGAGCCGTCTCGTTGCAGAGGAACACGATCATGTTTGTCTGTAATTTAGCGTTCTAGTGAGTTAACGTATTATATCACTATCTATTTTTTGGCGCAAATGAATTTTGTTTTCAAAGCGTATTCAATCAGAATTACATTAAAAGTATTCACTCAAAACAATCTAAAATGTAAACGTTCAAACAACCCCTTCGGCGGCCGGCGTACCATTATCAAACGCCGAGCGGTCCACGGCGATACATAGGTTGGGGATCACTGCACTGATTCGCAATACCCCATATTTCACGAGACCAGCTGCTTGTAGTGTAATCCCTTCGCAACAAAATATTACATGTCTGCGTACTTGCGGAACAAGGAAGAAAGTAATAGACTTCACCGATTCACTTATAATTTGAAAGGAAATTGCATGGCTGCAAGCAAACCTCTATCACATGCCTCCTTCATCCCTCCACTTGATTATATCGTTCCATCCGCGAACCGTCCTGTCTATCTCGATCAGATTTGACCTGTGTGTTTCGTAGAGGGTGAGTTGTTCTTGTTCAACTTAGACATATGGATGCGTCACAAAAGTGATATTTCATCGCATAGAGTAAGAAGTCACGTTTAGTGATTGGTATCCATTCTGCTGCGACGGAGATCGTTCCGCTCTTTATGTTACGGACAACTTGACTTCGAGGTCAAACGGTGGCTTCGACTGCGCCTTCAACTATCCGATCCAACTAGCCTGAATGCCCACCAAACGAGGCAACCTATCTGCGCCTGTTGTTTAGACCACCATTTTAGTACCAAGCCAAAGTTGTGCACTGTTGTCCTGTGTGCATCACTTGCGCCCTAGCTACAGACATCTCCAAAGCTCAATTACAAAAGGGGTTTGACTACAGTTCAGGCCTATACCGGGTTCTCTGAGCGCACGCGTCTCCCTTTCCTCAGTGACTGTGCGCGCTCCACTGATGTCGCAGACATCGCCATTGACCAGTGAGGGCGCGCGGCACACCCTCCACCGGCTGAGCTCCGTTTAGTAAAGTCTCAATTACAATCCATTTGAGTTGGACCACGTTATTCTCGCCCAAGTCTCACAGTTTTCCTACCCACCTCCGAAAAGGTGAGTATTCTGCGCGTAACTGTGTTCAATCTCCACGCTATATAGTATTCTATTAGCTGGTATCCTCTGCCCACGCAGCGCTACGTGTATGCAAGTGCGATGATTATCGGAGAATAGACTTTGCACTATATAGGGAAGCTTCTACACTAAGAATGATATCTTCTGCACTAAGGATTTAAGCGATTGCGTTAAGGATGTTGGCAAGTGAGAAATGGTATAGATTAAAGCGGCTATCTTATTTCTTTCATTTCTCAACTCAGTAAAAAGAGAGGAGATAGTGCGCACCGTGCCAAATGTTAACGATACATTGAAGCTGCCGTTTAAGTGAGATTATGAAAGTCATAGTTGACTTTTGAAATCCGCGGTAACACGAGTATACCCCTGCGGAGCACCACTTACTGATATCCACAACGACGCGCACTGCCACTCCTGCGGTTAACCTGGCGTTACCTCTGTTTGGCCCTTCACAAATGTGTACTAGTCTATAGGTAATTGCAAGACCACTTACATAAACATGACATAGAACCAGCTGTTGGCGGGAATCGTATAAAATGTCCCCTCATGCGTCAAGAATCACGTTTCAGACCTAAGCGCCTCCACCACCCCAGATGCGGAGCCGAGGAATGTAACTGGTAACTCGTACAAGATGCCTGCACCACCAGTCGCCCTCTACCTGCTAACAGACAAACCCTGTGGCGACTCCACGCGTATGTTGTGTGATCTACGCAACAAATAACACACATGTGAGGCAGTCGCGATCAAACAGTTTGACCCTTTTCTCTGTGTAGAATGACGCATTCTTCACACTGGTTCTACCCTGGTAGTAAGCCAGTAGACAGATGGCGAATTGACAGGAACGTGTGCGCTCCTGCGAATGTGTGCATCTACATTGGATAATTTGCCATATGAACTGTAGTACGCACATGATAACATGCACATAAATTTTTCCCGAATTAAATGGTGCGGTGCTGATGTTTAAGTTTATACTGATAATTTCATCTGGAAAGTGTTGCTTTAAGTAGTACAAGTTGCAGAAGTAAATATCATGGAAATTATTTGCTGCAATGAACGCATACATTGATATTCTCCAAATGACCACATATGGAATTGTTTTCTCCTGTTCAAGACTAAATCATAAGGAAGTTCAACACGACACCCTGACAATTCACGCAGGGACAATCTTTTCGCATCTTTGGCGTATAGACCTGTGACAGTTGATTCATGGCATTTGTCTATCCTAGTCCATATCATAAAAACCGGTATCTGATTGGAGGAGTAGCTCAGGGGATCGCAACTTAGAATATATAATATATACCTATTGGTTTCGATTGATCAGTGAGATGGAGATAGTCTTTATTTATATTATTGGCTTAATCTCGTGGAAAGCTGGAGGCTGATTGTTTTGACCCACGTTAACAGCCGTCAACACGCAGGTAGTGGTGAGAAGTGATTAGTGATAAACATGGTGCTTCTCCTAACGTCAGCTTTAAAAATTGAGAATAGATAAATTCCAGTAAATAAACTTATCTTTTATGTTACCAAATTTTCCCGGTATTAAAATTCCATTGTTGGAACTCACAAGCCTTGCTTGTGCTCAAAAAGCTAGTACGAGGAAATTGCAAGCGCGTTTACTAGGTTATGGTAGTAATATATTTTCACTCTCCACCTGATTTGTTACATGGAAGAAAGCGTTGATGATACTTCATATCTCCCAATGAACTGCATTGTGCACAAAATTAGCGCTTCTTTTGAAAAAAAAGTGATCAAGCAGTGCCAAGGAACGTGACTTCTAAATGTATGCCATTTGACATAAGAAAGGTGAATTTAAGTGTCTGTCCCCAAAGAACTGTGATTCTGAGTAGTTAAAAGTGTGAAAAAAATAAATTTCTTGTTTGGAGCAAGAAAATCTCTCTACAGTAACTCAGCTCGTTAGCGAATTTCAGTAAACCAACATTCAAAGTTTCGGTTACAGCAACCAAGAGAAGATATGAAGACTTTGCAGCTTTGTCCGAATAAGTCACCGTTCCAAAATTTTGTTTTTACCCACCAAGTTAAGGAGCATCTGGGTATAAGCTTTATATGTGAACCCACGTGTTCCATCTTTCGTATTTTGTATATAAACTATTATTTTCGTGTGAATATTGTACTTTCACCTCTGCACGCATTAACGTATCTGAGGCTTGTTCCACTTGTGAATTCCGACCATTGCGCAACAAGTTGGCATAGTTTCACCATTTATCCACAGACATTTCAGCAAGGTCGCCTAATTAATTATTGACGAAATTTCACCCGTGACTTTATAAATTGGGTTGGACGCTTCAGATTCCTTATTACCTCAGGAGTTTATATGGTAATTAAAAAGTCAATGTCGACTGCAGTCTCAATTGATTTTGCATGTCGCAAGCCACGTGGACATTGGCATTTAGAACTTAACAATGAGTCTAGCATCCATTTGTCAAAACTGTGAATAATCAATATTGTGGCTTTTTCATAAGCAACTATCATTCTGAGAATATGAGAGGTAACAGCCACAATTTAGAGCCAACAAAGCATAGCGTGCTGCATAGACATTAGTAAGCACTGTGAAAGTAATATGACATGTTTAAATCTTGGCTCTGTTTGGCAGCAATGTTAGCTTATAAATTAGTTTGCGTGTCCTTTTGTTATATCCATACATACATAGATTGCATTCATACGTGCCGTTGGTAATGTACAACGGGTCAAAAGCCAGCAACTTAAGTAATGCACACGATGCCATATTTAAATGGAACAACACACGATGCTCACAAACTTGAAAAAGCAACACTTTTTTGGGTACGCCGAACTCAGGTTAACTATGCGTGTATGCTAGAAATAAACTAGTTAAGACTGTTTCCAGTCCTGACCCATTATTTACGTTTTACTTGCACAAACCTTGAAGTTGTAATCAGAATTCTGTAAGATAGTAAACTCATGACAGTACGTACTTTAAATGTATTACTTTACTGAGTAACGCAAGTGTGCGGCATATACTAAAACTTAGATGTGAACTGTTATTCACCTGGTACGAACAATGCAATTTCAGTTGTGTCCATTGTTCACTATCATTTTTAGGTACCAAGACCTGTATGGGCACCAACGGAATACCGTCCGCATGAGTTTGAGTCACATTGTGAGGAGTGCCACGGCTATATCAGTCCGGAAAGTGTGCTTCATTTACAGGGGGAAACATACCCCAACGGTGCGCCCAGTATCTTTGCTTCGACAGTTTCACCCACATTTCATAATACAAGCCCCGTACCAAAAGCAAGTGTTGAATCTACGTCCAACAAATACAGACCCTTAAGTGCAGGGTTCGGTAAGCCCATGAGCTGCTTCTCTTATGGTGTCCGACCTGTCAATGCAGCTTCAGGTGCAATACATGTAGAACGCAATGGTTGTGGAGAGGAGCAGCGTTCAGACAGCGGTCGAGGAGCAAGTGATGATGAATTTGTCACCACAAACGGTCCCGGATTGGTGTTGACACCAGTGCAAATCGGAAAAATTCGCTCAGCTACTCTAAAAAGCTTTCAAATGAACGAAAGCTACAAACCGTCTTATGTGGTCTTCCCGAGTCTACCTAGGAACAATCACACTGAGTAAGTATCATAGCTTTGTTACGTTCAGGGCAGCCGTGGTCGGGTGTGAAGTAATAGAGAGCGACGAAGGCTAAACACTAAAATACCGCGGTCATTTATCAGTGTGTTCAAAACGCGCCAATAATAATTGCCTTTAAGAATACTACGATAGATAACATTGTTCTCAGTGTACTGTGGTAGTTTCATGGGGTTTCAATATGTTTGAAGTATATTTTTGCGTGACGTTCGTAGACAGATTACTCTGCCGCGTTGGTTGGTCTGAAGTAGGTGACTTTTAATAACCTGACAGCACATGCCATTACAAATATTTTTAGCATTATTCAGAAAGGGTTATCGTTTGCGGAATCCGCTCAGTTGATCCATACCGGCATCGTCCACGTTGAAATTTATCGGTGCCAATGGTTAGTGCACCACTGAATTTAAGACATGTAAGCCGTGTGTTTAACTAACGACTGAGGGTGTAAACACTGTATTTCATATAGACGTTGCGTTCTTGCAAGCATTCACCATTCAGTTCCAAAATTGCATGTAGCGGGACTCAGTGCGTATCCTCCGGGTAATTAATTATGGCCATATCAGCATTAATCTTTCGAAATTTCCTGGCATCAAAAAGTAAAAAAGTTATGGGCACACAAATTCAAGCTCCTAAAATTTATATGACATTCATTATGCCTAATTGATATATATCTGTATATATATATATATATTAATATATATATATATATATATATATATATATATGCAAGGTAGCCGTATCTATTCCTTTGCCAATAAGGAAGCAAAGTGTAACCATTTGCGTTTCTAGTGTAGTGGACTCCAATGTTTTAGAAAATAAATTTTTGTTGTTTGGTCAACATCTGCGCAACCGCAATATACGCACACACCAACGTTTGTGTTGCTTTAGTAACTACGTGTTTCAGTCATCTCTCAGACAGCTTCTCATTCATCTGGAACGACTGTGCGCAACATCTAGGTTCCGGTGGGACTCATGAGTCGCATGCGGGAAAAATAAACCTTTTATTCTGATCACATACAACTTTCACCGGAAGTACAATAATTTCCTTCTACTCGTTTCAGTAATTTGGAGATCGGACAAGGGATAGATGGCTGATTTTGGCTGATCAATTACCGTAACTCCCAGGGATGACAGAATTTCTTCAAATTCAAATTCCAAGAAATATTACTGCAGAGTTTTGAGCTGCTCAGCCGCATAATTTCCTTCTAGCAATTTGGAATTTCTTTATCCGCTGTTGATTTGTTGGGTTGGTATTGTGAATGTGCTATATCAAATTGATCATCTTGTAGCCTGAAACTGACGGCCTGATGACACAATTCGGACAGAATCTATACTTGTTTAAACAGGATTATTTTATCTTAGTTCACTGTCGTACGGTGTTATTGTAATTCAGCTTTCTACACTGTCTATCGTCCAGAGTGCCTCTACCCTTTTGTTTAACAATTTGCTGACTTTCCATTGCACACATTCCACATGTTTTGTTAATTTAAGACACTTTAAGCACTTTCCTATTTGGTCCGCTTTGATGTGCTTCTGTGAACGTAAACATTTTGCCCTCATTAACAAGGAAATATACGTGGAAATGCGCTCATCGTCCTTGTATTCTGCGTTCTGATGCTGACTCTAAAGTGTTTTCCAGTGCGTCAGACCATGTGAAACTTGCCATGCACGGATACATTGATGTAAATTGCAGCATGTCGTCCATCTGAATTAAATTTTCTTATTTAAATGCGTGCGAGAGATAAGCCGATTTGAATTAACAAACTTCTTCCTGTATCTCCATTCACTATGGAATAAAAATGAGCAGGGTTAAACGTAAAAATAGAAGCAACCGACAGAATCAATCAAATCAGGTTGTTTTTTTAACTAAACCCAGTAAATTAATCTATCATCGCCCATTGGACATCCGAAGGACAAGTACTTCGGTCCATTGGGAAGTGACGTGTGAATGAGCCAATCTGCAACACCAGGACAGGTACTGTGAGCTCATTGGCAATACGTCGCGAACCAAGCAGAAGTTATGTATTAAAATTTGCTCACCTACTCGTCAGCCATCGGTAGATCAGTGGCAGCGCAACGGACCGGAAATTCGTGGACCGGGGTTCGATTCCCCGTCTAGGCACATTATGGTGCGTGAATTTTAATCGTGACTTCTACTTTCTACAAACTTTACACTACTCACAAAGATCCAAAATTAAACCCAGTAAAGTTTAATGGTAATTTACACAATTGACGTAGTGCTTAGTTTCTCAACCGCAGTTGTAACATGGGTTCGGTCCGATAATACAAAAGGCTGATATGTTTTCCAAATGTAAATTTGCTGTAAGCAATGAACAATGATATCGCACGTGTAACATATCGGGTTTTCGACAAAATACGTAGAATATCAGGAATGAAATCTACTATAGCAAAATGTATACTATGTGTTTAAGCGTCTACCAAGGGAGTTCACTGTTGAATAACGGTATATAAAACACGAGAATGGAAAGCAAGAACACAAGACAACATGCGTTAAAAGTAGGAATTCGTTCGCTTCAAACAGTGGACGGACGCATATGGACACCAAACATGCAGCAAATACACCGTGCCAGAAATGTGTTGTATTATTTCACTGCGAATGCTCAATATCTAACCCTATGACAATGGTTATCTCACACTAAACTCCCACTCACAAATGGTTCTTTGCAGAATATGTTTTAAACAACTATTGAGTAGGCTTAATCACAGCACTCCAAGGGTTAATATTCCACATCCGAAGTCATTAGCGGCAGCAGGAGGTAGGTTAGCTGAGTCTTCGCTTCGGTTCTTCAATCATTGTTTTGACGAAATACACGTGCCGACCTTTGAAAGCACAAATTGATGACTTCAATTCGCAATATATCTGGTCGTTCCGATCCATCCAACTACCGTTCATTAGTCTTACTACCGGTGCTCCCATAGGTCATGGAAGCTACTATTTCTTCTTCGCTAAAGGCCTGCTTGGAAGCATTGGACTACGTTGCACTGGAAGAGCATACATCCGACGAAATGTATCATGCACTACAAATTTGCCACTAACATTATCCAGCTAGACGCAAGCAGTAGACAATGACACAAGATTGTATGTTGTTTTCCTTGACTTCGCAAGGGATTTCAAGCTTTCAACTCATGAAATTATGTTTTTACAAACACCAGACCTTTGGTGGTGTTTATTTTTCTATGGGTGAATTAGAACCTTTCTCCTACCTGTAGCATGGATATACAATAGCGTGAATCCAGGTCAGATCCCATCCAAGTTATATACGTATTAACACAGGGATCAACAGAAGGAAAACGGTTATTTTTAACTTATCTCAAATATATCACATGTCTCATAAGATCTAACGGCCTGCTTTATGCCGATGACATGGTGCCGACGCAGATCAATACACCAGATGACGTAATAGTGTTTCAAACAAACCTCTATAGGGTATACGCGTGATCAGTCCAGAATTTACTTCGATTTAATGTGGACAAATGTAGGGTGTTGCTCTTACGCATCCAGCTGGTGTGCTCCAACCAACCACGAAACAGTGAGCTTCCCAAGTCTTCTGGCAAACATTAGCTGAACCTTTTGGTCCAGGCCAACCTAGAATGTCCGAATCAGAGTGAAAGGTCGTTAAGAATTGGCATCTAGCTCGTGGGTCTCCAGAGACTTCGTTTCGGAAGTTGCAACAACTTTCAGGCCATACGTACGTCTAAATGTGGAATTCAGGTGCAATTCAGGTCTGGTAGCCATGGCTGAGTAGAGATCTCACCGCCTTGGAGATTCCCCGAATTCGGACTACCAAGAATGTCAAAGCACTATATAGTTTCGTGGTTTATTCGTTGGAAAATTGTTTGCAAAGTTTCCACAACCATGCATGGTGGCGTCGTCAGTGCGCCGTGTCGTTTGGAATTACATTTTCATTTTCTACTACGTATGCTGCAGGGAGTCCGCCGGTGTGAACATAATTTCGCTTGTAATATTTGTCTAATTAGCCGTATGAACGATGTCTTTGAGTAATCGGGGTCTGCAGCGCTCAATTTCGGAGGCTGCATGGTGACATCGTTTAGAGTTACAAGATTTTGAGAGTTCCTAGCCACACGTGCGGCCATTTACTGAAACTCAGACACAACATTAATTTCACAGGCCAGAATACCAAGCTGGCAGAGCAGCTCAGTCGTGTAGAATGCCGTCTGAATATATTTTCTGCGGGCGTTTGCAACTCGTGAAATGCAATGCAGGAATCCGTCGCCTGTGCTCCGATGCTGTAAACGTTAAAACCGGAGTCAAGCGTGTACTGCTTTCGTTACACCATGTTACATGACTAATTGTTCTTGCCTAAAGACGTGTGCCTGTAATTTATTTCACTGCCCTTCAACTCCCAAGAAACGTTCCAACAATTTTACTTCATGCTTGTGATCAACAGACGAGGAACAAGCTACATTAGCATCACATTTTTCACCATTCCTTTTGCACACAGCGGTTACATATTTTGCTATGTATACCTCAGTGAGTCCAAAAGTGTGGACCTAATATTCATGACAATATTTCTATATTCAAATTTTCACCGTGGTCTGTTACATTTCAGCTATTTTACCAACATGAAACTATTGTTCCATTATTTGCTGCGCCCTTTTAGAGTTTCAGTCTGAGTGGGTACGTAAGTTGGGACGAAATTTGAAGTTCTTCAACTCCCACCCTGTGCAGTACTGGGCTTGGTGAGCTATTACTACGTTCAGGGTTGCCACGCTCTATAGGTTATCCGGTATGCGACATCAAGAGCATGCCAATCATTTGCAGGAAAATGGAGGCGCAGTATTTTACGTGCGCTCTATGCAGGAGGCGCAAGTGCTTATTTGCTTTCTTTGCTGCCTATTCGGTCTGTCTCAAATGGTCAACTTCATCTTGCATTAGCATGTCGAGACGACACTCATGAAAAGCGCGCTTTGAAGTTTAAGTTCGTCGGTTGGCGGATGCTTGTTAGGTGGCGCTCAAAAATAAAATGCAGTTTTGAGTGTTGTTAATATATAGCATTTGTTCCGACGTTTCTAGATGTTCAGTTGTAATCTTGTGCATTTCTTAATTTTGATGCCTTAAAATTCAAAGAATAGAGTGGGTTATAATGTAAAAGTTGACTAAACCACGCAGCATCCTACCTTGTGGGGGAACACTGTTTCGTGTGAAGGTATTATCTGTTCTGAAGGGCTAAATCTATGGGGGAAAACTAGCCTTCATCCAGACATGTAGCATAGTTCAACACAGAATTGGCGAAGAGCTGGAGAAGCTAAAAAACGGCTTTTGCCAGGAGGAGTGTATCGGCAGAGAGTTTAAAAAGGCCGAAAATTTTCTTACAATCAGTTAAGTTTTACTATAATTATACTTATCATTATCATTATCATTGCGAATTGCTAATTCCCAAACTGAACACTAACACAGGTGCGTGAATGACATCGCGTGCAAAGTGCAAACCTGTGTAGAGTCCTGCTAAAACAAACGGCCCAGAAATTGAGATACGTGATCTTTTGGCGAGTAGGCAGGTAATTTAGACAAACAGTGCTTAGACACGGTAAATACAGGCATGTGTTAATCTTTGATTTAAGCGAATTAACATTTTCGGATCAGGGGAAATGAAGAGTGGTGTAGTTAAGAGTTGTTACATGGTTAATTCAGTATGTTTTTTGTGCGGACGTACTGAAACCCTATCGGCATCGTTTGGAAACTGCACGCAAAAATGAAGAAGCGTAAATTTTCAATAGAAAAGATGAATTAAATCCCATGGTTAGTATTTATTGCTATGGACGTCACATCGAGATAGTAACAAATGCTTAATAAAAGTTAAACATATTATGAGGTCTTTTCCAGAAGAACAAATTCATCCACTTTTAATCCTTTCTTAGCTTATGTATCAGTCGTTTGTTTATTGACATCAATGACAGTTTACTACCTTTTTATTCGTGCGCTCGAATTTTTTC